ATATTTATTATAGTAATAACATATTTATTAATAAATTAATTAATTTTATATAATTTATACTTTGTTAATAAAAATTAGAACAAATAATAAATAAATTTTAATATTCTTTTTAAGTATTCAATATTTCTAATGTTTATTTTTTCTATATAAATAAGTGTTTCATTGTTTAAAATGATTCTTATGATGTCGTTTTTACTAGCTTAAGTTTTTGATTAATTAGATCAATATTGTTTTTTATAGATAGTATATTATTGTTAAGAGTCTCTAATACTAACTTATTATTGTTTATATCTTTAACAATACAAATAAATAAGAATTGTTTCTAATCATTTGTTTTTATTGTACAAGTTTTTGTTAGAAAAAAATAATTTAAAAAATGATGAAATTCTTTTTGAATGAATAAGGTAAAGTTTAATACAAAAGTTATAATTAATTAAATTAACTTATAAAAAATAATAAAATTTAACTTATTAAGTTTTATTTTCTTCATTGTAAATTTATTTTTAGGTTTTTTTATATAATTTAAACAAGTTTTTTTAAGTTTCATAAAAAGACTTTTTGATTTATCATATTAAAAATGTTATTAACATTGTAATAACTACAAAGATAGTTCTTGAACCAATTATTTATTTTCCAATTCTTTCCAAATTTTTTGCAAATTTTTATGAATATTTTCAAGTTTAGATATATATTCTTTGAACTCATTTAATACAGCATCTGTATAGATTAATTTACTTTTATTTATATATTGTTTTTTTATTATATTAAAAAACAATTCTCTAAAATTTTTTTTGGCATCATTAAATGAATTGATATGCTTGTTTAAATTATCTAACTGGATTTTAAATGTTGCATCGTGTTTGTTTTTATTTAAAATTTGTTTTATTTTTTCAATAATATCAACGCACTCATTTTCATAAAATACAATACCTTCTGTTCCATCAATGTTTGAAATATAGATAGCATCTATCATTCCACTAAGACAATCATATATAAAATAATATCTTTTTCGTAAAACATAAAAATTCTTTTCCAATATATTGTGTTTTTCATTTAATTTATTTGTTACTGATTTATAAAAAATACTAGTAACAATAACACTTAATATGATTACAATAAAGTGTGAAAACACACAAATAAGATATTTGTTTTTTAACAATCT